GTTCCTCCGTCTTCGCAGGGCGGCGGCCAAGCTGATCTACTGCTATGATATGCGTGTCTCGCCTGCTTCGAACAAGCGGCGTGGACGCCCATGACCTTGATACCAATTCATTTACTCTACCAGCACGTCTCCAAGCCGTTTTTCGCGATGAGGCGAATTCAGGATAAGAGATCACACACGAAGAGTGCACTCAACGAGTCCAATGATTAGCGATTTATATATTGCATTTGCACGTACCGGACACAAATGAACAGCCCGATTCTGCGACACTTGCAAGACGCGGTATGCGCCCCATCACACCGTTCTCAAAGCTGAAAAACAGGCTGCTGCGCGACAAATTGATGCCACTTGTCTTTGCGAAGAACGAGAATTTCAAAATTGACTGCCCGGCTACTTTTCTTAGGCTGCCCGCTGTAACAGGAGGCTTCTGCCTCAGCACTGAGTACAGAGTGGCGGCCCTCAGTGGTAGTCAGAGACATAAGGACTTCACTGGTACTGGGACGAAGAGTACAAAAGCAAGAGACGCGGTCGGTAATGAACAGGGAGCGACGTTGACAGCGGAACTCATCAAGGGGGAGTTGGTGAATAGATGGCGTTGCTGTTGGATTTTGGGCTCTCCATTCACGCAGGCCTTGATTTGAGGCCTCGGGAACGGTAGAACTAAGCAGCTCGGTGTAGCAGAAGCGATTTGAGTCTCGACGGCTAGAAACGGTACCGCTACAGTGGTGTCTTTGGAATGATGCAGACACAGAGCAAATCGGGCGCGTATGAGCATACCGTCAAAGGGGGGATGATACAGAAGCGATATGTAGACCGGCAAAACTGTAAGAATTAGACATAGCACCATGTAAGAGAGCTCATTTCTGAGCCTCAAGCTGATGTTTCGTCCTCGCGGCTTCAACCTGTCAAATATGACATTGATAGAGATCGCGCTGCTACCCAGCCACTAAGTCACGTCAGCCTTGTACAATACACAAAGCCCAGTAACACGTCAAGAAATCACGAATCAGACAGCAGTCCCTGCTGGACAAGGCCAAACCGATGTGGCTTGAGTGGCTCGACGACATCCACATGACCAAAGAGACCGCATACGGAGAGGAGAGCCTGGCAGCGGTACTACGAGAGGTATAAGGAAAGCTCGCCGCGGTGTCTGTTGACCTACATCAAGCTTGTAGCATCAGTCTTGGCTGGCACCGCTGAGGCCAAGATCATGGCGACCAGCAGTAGAGAAGCGGAAATTTCACATGTACTCCATGCCACAAATGCAGTCGCTACAGCCTCTGCCGAAGCAGCGACCGGCCGTCCTCGTAAGTTTGCCATTCCTGCGGCCAAGATCCCCGAGCCTCACTTCTCCCTGATTAAGGTCGCTGGTGGCTCGACCATTCAAAGCTACGCCAACGAGACACTTCCTCGAGCTGCGTTCACCTCTGAGTTATGAATGGCGGGCGGAGTTGATAGCTTCGTGGAAGGACAGCTGCACTTGCAACCTCGATTACATCGTAGGACGTTACCAGGATCCCATGGCGAAGGCGTAAGGGAACAGCCTCGATATACTGCTTATCGTGACGAAATGGGTGAAATCTTTGGCGGCTTCACGAGAAGTTCTCGGTGTGGTGCTGCGGTTCTCTGTGAACCATCAAGATGGCTATCCGTAAAGCACCATCAGGAGTATCAACTACTTCGGAAGTTGAGGAGGCGTAGTCGCTCTTTGCTATGTGATCTTCAACATGGCGTGAGTTGACATATGCTCGTTACAATCGTAAGCACCAAGACAGACCGTTGTCGATAGCACAAACGTGATGAATGCTGTGCCTGTGTCAGCGAAGCCCTTGGTCTTCTGTTTGCCGAGACAGGCTATGAAAAGCCCAAAATGAAAACACGCTGGTCCGTGAGAGCAAGACGGGTGATGCCTCGGCCACTGAATTGCCCTTATACTAATTGCCCCAAGTGTAGTCGTTGGAACGATGGTAGACAGTGGCAGCGCCGAATTGCAATGCAGCGCAGCAAATGGCTCCTCTGATGTGTCGGCTTCGTGATCCTCGGCAAGGTCTTTTGTTATTGTAATCGGTCGAAAGGGGGGCGTGGAGCGGATGGATCGATGACAATTTCTCTATCCGGTAAGAATATATCAGTAAAGGAATTCTAGCAAGACTGAGTTGTTGAAAATTTGCGGTAAAGATAACTCAGGATGAAGAATGAGGGACTGATAACGCGTCGTCAAGCACTACGATTGGGACGACACTGGCAATCGTAACCAATGTTAAGTGCGCAAGGGAACCGAACTGCGTGCCTGAGGTCAACTCCGATCTTCATCGTCAAGTGCGTGCGCTGGCATAGCTATGAGCTGTCGGAGCTGAGGTGTTGTGTTGGAAGAAATGTTGTTTGTTCTGCGTGCGGTCTCTCGTCTCCGTAGGGATTTGCGCTGAAGATGACGTCAAAATGGGAGGTTACACTGACCCCTCGTCGACATTCGTGTCATGAGTACGAAGATACCTACGCATGACGGATCTAAAAGAGAGAGAAAAAAATACTTGAGGCTCCTAATTTGACCTCTGCGACTAGAGAATGTTTAAGGCAAGTCTTGCAGTGTTCTTAGAACGCCTTGACCCTAGCACTATCGTCTACAGTAATGCCATCGCGTCGTCTTCGAGTCTGTCGACACCTCACGACAAAGAGCCCTTGCAACACATTCCATAACTAGAGCGTACATAAACCGACCGAGGTAAAGGTATCACTAGAAACCGGCATCTTGCAATGTTACGCTCTATGCATGCATTCTAGCCACCAAGCGATTGGCGCGTTCTCCAACGCCATCGCAATGGACTGACGTTTTCTTTACGCACCGTTTCCAGGCATCTCAGCTGCTGCTGAGCCCGATACAGGCGAATTACGAAAGACCAGGCACCCCGCCAGCCGTCATCTCACGTATCCTAAGCAATTGAAGACTTTACTCAATATGGCCGAAGTCTGATTTTGCTGATGTAGCCGTTTCTGTAGCGGGATGTTACAGTGACAACCCCTACTTCGTCAATGGCACCATATCGTTACATCATTCTACGAAAATTGCCATTTTCGTCTCTCTGCTCAATGATCATTGGATAAAGCGACAAAAGTCTACCCTTGGCGTGAATCAATCCCCACTTGGACTCTTAAAGATTGAACGGCGTAGTGTCTAGCCTGCTTACTACCAAAGTCCTAAAAGGTTAGAGCCGGCCAATTTAGGGTAGCTATCAGTAACAGAGGTTAGAACCAGTGGCCGTTGACGATTCAAAGTGTACTTATTCTTACTAGAGGGAGATGCTTGCGAGAAGATTGAAAGCTGTAAGTGAAGTTCTGAGCAAAAAGATCAGTTGCTTGCATGACTTGAAACGCAGAAAAGCCGGCCTGGTCCTCAATTTGCTCTTCGGATGGACGTCGAACCCACCAGTACAGCAGTCAACCACAGCTATTGTCAGCATTTAAGTTGCAATTTACAATATTTGAATGTAAACAGAGAAGCAAGTCTCTGCCAACACTTGCGTTCCATTGCACCGGCTACAAAAATAAGCCGACTTGAACTCTTCAATGCCCATGCTGTAGATGCTTCCGCGCAGTGCAAATGTTGAGGGCAAACGAAGAACTCATATACAATCTCCAAAAGATCAACGGCAAAGGCAAAGCTTTCATGGTCATGTATCCTTCGGGTTGGCCGTTTTTTGGACAAGGAGCATCATACTTACGTTGCCAGATGGGAAGCCAGGCCTCGCATTTCCAGCTCAACGTCTGGGTTCGGCGGTCGTTATCGCAAGCCAAGGAATTTTGATTTAACCAATGACGGTCGTAGCGTATTACAGAAACGGGGTCAAGAACCCAAAGGCAGACAGAATTAATTGCTTTTATAATTGCTTTAAATAGCCTGTTACTTTCCTACAAACATTACGATGAGCCAACCCTAACGTACAGTTCCCGAGTCAGTTTGATGGCAGAGTCAGTTGAGGGCACTGAACACAAATGACAGCAGCTGAATTACAGGGCATCTCCAGGTGACACTGTCGCGGGAGCAATTGACATGGGGCTTACAGGAAGTTGGTGGGGTTGGGATCCCCTGTAAATGAACGATGAGCAGTTACGGGAGGCACCTAAGGAACCAAGCCTTCCGCGTCAACGCGTCTTGCCTCTGGCCTGGGCTTCCTTCCATTGGCTCGTCCTCGATCATCTTCATCCTCCAGCAACCTCAAGTTTTCCCTCTTTTGTCTTATTCAGAACGCACTTCAATCGATCAGTCTGTCCTCACTTCCATCAAATTTCCGCTCATTCGCCCTTCGTTCATCGACGGCACTCTTGGAAATTATCCGCGCAACGTTGGTGACCCTCGTCCTTCATCAACACCAAGCTTTCCCACTTTCATCTCACCAGCGACACGCCTCCATCGGTTTCATCTCATTTGCTCCTCGTTTACCCAGGTCACGCCTGGAAACTCCCTTTCTTGAGCTCCCAAGCTTCGTTCTTCACGTAGCTTAGACGACCGCAACAAGTCCCTCCTCCAGCGACACGACATTGCCCCATCGTCCTCACCCGCTGCAGCCATCGGAATGCCACCGAAGTGACTGCGAGATGTGGCCGCGACGCTAAGTCATGAGCTTGTCGAATTGGTTGAGCCATGCCTTGCTCAAGCGCCAAAGCTGCAGACATAGCGCGAGACGATTGACGAACACTAAATCAGCCGCATCCGAACCTTCAAAAAGAGACACTCGACATGCCCCGTCCACCACCACAAGATCTTGACCAGTGGTGAAACCAACCTCGGCAGATGCCCCAACGCAGACGGTCGAAACCCTTCCTCCCTCTATACGTCGCGCTCGATAAGTGCTACCGCTGGCTTCAACTCCAAAACCCGAACAGAGCTTTGATCTCCCCTTGACCCCCGAGTCCCAACCTCTCTCGACAAGTGATGACCTCAGAAGATGAGGACGGTCCGCCAACGACCCTCTTGAACACACGCCCGATCAGCATTCCCATTCATGAAGCCTACAGGCAATGCGCTTTCCCTCTCTAAATACTCCCGGCATCTCACTCCAACGTACGATGCCAGGGCGCTGCCCTTGATCAGATCTATGATCACAATGCGGCTCGGGTTGCGAACTTACAGCCCACGTACAGACACCAAGGAGGATCTAAAAAAGCGCTTGAAACAACTGGAATTACAATGCAAGGAACGAATCAATCTCGTCGCAGATCTCGAGATCTCGCGACAAGAAGTGACGACACAACCACCGGTCTCTATCGTCGCTGATTATCGATTATCCAGATGCAAGGTAAGCCTTTTGATCACGGTATACATTTTTCAGGCCGCTGACCGTGTCTTTCCAGATACTTGCCGACAACATTCGATGCGCCCAGTCTATCCTAGGCAAAGCCCGCAAACACCACCAGATCCGTCAACCTTCAACTCTCCAACACCCATTTGCGGACATTGCCTGGGATAGACTGCTTGGGGTGTATTCATCGTCTCGACTCCATCCTTCAACTCCACAACAGCCAACAACACCGAGACGATGAATACACCCTAAGCCTACCACCCGGCCGTTTATCAAGACATCACAACAAGCTGCGAGTCCATCCACCAACCTGTCGGCCCCCCAACCACGACAGAGCGACACTGGGAGCCGACAGGCTACCCGAGCGGGTTCCTCCACCGGGTCTAAACACAACATTCAACAAAAGAGTAGAACCCGCTCGGGTGGGAAAATTTGAACACAACATTCAACGGAAGAAAACACCTCGGAACTCTAGTTCGAACCGAGAGCACCCTCGCCATATTCACCATGCCGCAACGACAGGCGCCATGCAGGAAATGGGTGGTCAGGCGAGTGATTCTCAGCGTCCAGTCACACCAACACTCAACAGTATCATCGGTGGGAGAGCGAGACTGGAACCAAGTCCGCTTACGGGCCCGGATGAATGGAGGGGATACTACAGCGGAGGACGCAAAGACTGAAATAGAGGAGGTAGGTTCAATAATTGACGTTTTCGCCATGCGGATGCGAGAGTGTGCGACGACTTGCTCTTCATGTGACGGTATACGCCATGAACAAAGAGATAGCCTCAGTGGATGAACATGAGTTGGTCAAAGTGCACAAGAAGTCAGTCTGCTGCCGGGATCGCACAAGGAAACCAAGACGTACTGCTGCTTCTGAGATTCCTACACTCGCGGCAAGGCCTTTGGTGATGTTCTACCTACTGGTAGTAAGAGCATTTAGACTTTAGATGAGAATGCCACAATAAACTAAGTAAAGAGTATGCTAAGCCTGGCCTAAATTACTTGAATCCTTTCGTTCCTTAGCGTGCCGCGCACTGATTGTGTGGAAGGCATTCTCAGCATCGCGAGCCTTGGGAAGGTCAGCAAATGAGTCTGTTTGCCAAACCAGATCCTGACGCGGCACCAAATACCATACATCAAATTTCGGTGGTCTTACCAGCTTCTCCAAGCATCACACCCGCCAGATCAACAAAGTTTAACTTTGTTTCCCGCCCAAAGGCTAGATCTCCATCTCCGAACATGCTTATCTACTTAAGACCAAGAATGCATAAGGATAGCCTCATTCAAAAGATGTCACCACTTACTTCAGAGCACCCGTAGCCTCTTTTAACTAGCCGTGCGACAGATCAAATGACGATCAAAGTTATTTTCCTTACGTTTCCTGATATTTATGTATGATCTGTTGGATGGAACCAGATGTAAAGGGCTCAGGGGTAATATACATCTGCAGAGCAATGCTGACACCTTTGCAGAGAGTTCAGATACATCCTGTGCTACGAATCACACTTACAAGCAGTAGCAATAAGTGATAAGTTTTCTTGACGGAATTTAGCTCCCGCGGATCTGAGTAACAGAAAGTGTTTGGCAGCGTTTTGTTAGACATGCTTGTCTCGGGCTCAAGGGGATGATGTTGGATACCCAGAGAAGAACGTGCGGTGCTTTCATGGATGACTCTGAGAACTTTACTCTACTGACAATTATCGGCCTGGTCAAAGGAAACATGTTCGGTATTTCCTATACTTCGTCTGGATCGACATTCCAATAGTGAATGTATTCGGCGTCGAGCACGGGGCAGAATAAAAGCCCCCAAGCTTACAATAAACCACTTCAGACTCTTTATGTGGTTTGTATCATGTAACACTGTGATTGCCGATTCCCCGTTTTCCTCTATGATGCTACCACGATACTTATACGACACTAGAACTTGGACAGCCTGATGTCGGTCGCGTTGGCCTTCCTGAGACAGGTCAGGCTCCTTTTCTCTTCTAAAGCTCACAAATCGTTCATTGCATATCGCTGAGTTTTGTGTAGTATTTCAGTTCATGCGCCATGCAGTCCTCCCTGAGAGGCGGGTCGTAGAAGAAGTTCACACAAAGGCGGTGCATCACAAGCTTACATTTGGCCCTCCCCTCTTCAAAGACAGAGGATCAATATAGATGGTATTCATACCGAAACCAGAAAGTAATGGGTGTCGGGGATATACCGACAAGGTTTACTATACTATTCGCAATCGGCAGGCCAGACAATTGAGAGTTCTTCACAGCGGAGTCTGCAAAATGCTCTCGGGCTGAACTGTAGGGTAATTCTTCCGGTCATCTTTCACCATATAGTTAACGCAGACAGAGTGGAAAGCTTGTTTATGCATAGTTGATCTATCACGGTAAAATGCGTTATACGCATGCAATGATGGATAATTAAACATGAGGCCATAGTCACGAACGATCTATTATCTACTGTATGTAGCATGATGAGCCTAAGATTTGTAGTAGATGATAGTGAGATTCATGCAGATTGGCGGCCAGCGGGAAGAATCTGAGTGATGATGCTGTGATCTTCGATAGAGCTTGTGGTGGCGACAGGAGCTCAAGTCTCGGTGCCGAAGTCAGAGTTGGTGGCAGTAAGGCGCATACCGACAGCGATATAGATAGACAGGAGAATGTTTAGGTCTACTTGTCGTTGCATAACTCGAGAGCCCTCTACAAAGCCACCACAGCTCACATCAGCATCACCAGGGCAGGCCATATTACACAGATCAGCCCTAATAGATATAGAAGTAGTAAGATCAAGCTCGCTACCGCAGTAACATTTATTACCAAAAAGCCCGAAAAAATTGTTGCCTAAGCAAGTCTTGGCATATAAGTTAGGATCATTTTCCTTAGAGGTGTATGCCTGAGTGAAGCTAGGGAAGCCATTTTTGGAGGAGAAGCAGCCGGCAAAGTTGAAGCCATCAGGGGTTCCGACGCCAGCAGCATGAGGTAACCCAGTGCCAATGGTAGGACTAATAATCCCGATAGCAGAGGCTGTGGTATCGGTGAAACGAGTCGTAAGCTGAGCAGCGGCCAAATTACCGATAATAATGGCAATTTTAGTATAATGCATTTTGAAGTTGGTAGTGTACTTAAGAATGGATGACTGGAGGGCCTCGACTAATAACAGCCCCTGCAAGAATATTTGAGGGCTTGATGCGGTTGGAATATGCAATACAAGAAAGAAGTTAAGGTTTGATCAGAGATAAACCTTTTCCTTATATAACCACTAATCTATTTCCCGAGCAGGGCTGGGGCCGAACTTTCTCTCTTGTAAGACATGCGTCATACTTATGTCTCATAGAATTTATCAAGCATCACAAAATGAAGGCTAGTATGATATGGCTATGGAGAAATCGAGTTCCTGTCGAACAAGTAAGAAGCCCTTCATTCTGCCCCTAATCGATATGTCTTACCCTAATCCAAGCAAGGGAGCTTCTCACCCTTCCTTGGCGCTACTTAGGGAGTAGATCTCAACCCATTACGGGTTTGTTCCAAATACATCTCGTATTTTAAAATTACCTTAAAATTTAGATGAACGGAAGCATACACGATTGTGAGGGCCCGACTCAAAACTTGGCATCGCACTGGAGCAAAGCAACAGGAATCATGAGGCGCAACGTGAGAGAAGACAGAATATCGCTTCTGTAACACATGTCAAAGGAAGCAGAGAGGTCGACACGCATATCTGTCACAATTCATGCTGCATCAAGCTTATTTTCAACCATATTTCTCGGCTTCCAAGCCTAATATAAGCGCCAACACTTCATAATACATGCAGATCTCGTCACATTTCACATCGCCCCCCATCACCGACTCAATATCCAGTCCGTGTATCCCGAGTTAGAGATCTCCTTCTTGACGTCAGTCATTGCACTCATGATTTGCCAGCCTGTCTCTCGCAGAGAACTCCTCTGTGGTACGTAAGATACTAGAGCCGATGTCGATACTGTGAAATTACCATCGTCCGACTTGGCTTCTGGTGTAGGTGGAGGCTGTGATCTGGGGAGTATTGCCGCATCCCCCATACAAGAAAAGTAAGCATGTAGATGTCTTCGAGGAGTCTTTGTCTTTCTCTGCACCATCTCTTTCATGCTCACTGGTCCCGTTATCCTCAACATCGGCTTCATCCCCAGTCTTACACCTCCAATACTTAGAGTGTCTCCAGCCGCCATCGCATCCACGATCTAGGTTGTCCCCTATACCTGTACGTCCTTTGCATGGCTCTCTTGAGGTAGAGAAAGGGCCCGACTCGCATATACACGTGATGAATCAGAAGCCCAATGAGGATAGGTGATGAGGTTGCGAGAATAGAAGTGATTTCAACCCCAACACAAAAGCAAGGAAGACGAATCAACACACATGGGCATATACTCCTTACCTCCCCTGATGCTAGCTCAGAAAGGCCCACGGTCAGACTCAGCCAGGACCAGGGAGGGCAACGAGTATATTGCCCATATCTGTTGATTTGTCTTTCTTGCTGAAGCTCTGTTGGCCTTGCAATAGCTTTGAGCAAGTAGTGGTGCGTTGTTGTGGTCTGCATCTTGTCGTAATAAGACTTTCACCTATTGATCGAGCTCAGGAGTGGCCTTGTAAAGGCGAGCCTCGAGTTGGTTGGTGGTGTCCTCTGTCTGAGCTCAGGCCACTTTTAGCTGCTACTGCTAGTAATCATGCGGGCCGAGGATATCATCGACGATGGCGCTGGGGGTGAAGCGAGCTGGTTATCGCTGTTACAGATGGGCAAGACTACCTTTTTTGTCTCTGTTGCTGTTGATGCTGATTCTCGCTGTTGTCGGGCTGTTGCGAAGGAGGAGTTTCCTGCCACAATTTGCATATGATTGAGCGTCACCCAATCACTACCATGGTTGGTCCGCTCGTGTAACTCTGCTCGAAAGTCTTGAAGACTCCTGACGGTCCAGGTTTCATCACTGCTGATCTTCGCCATTGCTGGGCTGTCATGAAGGAGCAGTCTGGCTTGAGTATATACAGCATGCTGTGAGCACTTATCACCACAATGTAGTGTTGAGTGTACGAAGCACTGCGAGGAGGTAACTGGAACCGGTCGTGCATTTTGTTGATTGATTGAAGTGGGTTGTGATGACTCGGGAGGATTGAATGCTCAATGACTGGGTCCTTGCGGCCAAGCGCCTTTTCTGATTGATGCGCTGAAGCAATTCGAGTTTGACCTCTTGAGTACAATCTTAACAGTTCAGGTGTTATAGCTTGCCGACATGTGCCGAGGGTTGGCGTAAGGCTTCACCGGAAGCAGCATTGTACTCTTCTATGAACTTGCCCCGGAGGGTGTCGCCTCATCACAAAGAGGGAGTGGCAGCTTTAAAAAGTCAGGCTTCCGAGTCGCATCAGCTCTGGCAATCCTTTACCCCTAACGGTTGATCATGGATTTTCGCCGAGTGTACCGGCGTCAACCGTAGTTGATAGTACCACAATGCATATCTTCCCCCGCTTGTTCCCATTCTCAATTCATAGACACGCCGTCTAGTGTATTAATCTAGTGCAGGATCTTTTTGTTCTTCGTTTTTACTGCATTCATCCTTCCAGCCTCGTCTAAGATTTGTGACTCTAGGTCGTGGTAAGCCCTGCGCAGGCAATCACCGACAGATGGTTTGTTTATGAGCCTTCTGAGGAGCTCCGAGCCGTACTTCTCTCTCGTCGGCGATTGAATGTGCTCTACCTGAGAGGTTATTACCGGAAGTCTTCAGCGATGGAACTCATAACCCCAGGAGAACGCATCTGGGATCTTCATATCAGGCGGCTGGTGTTCTTCGTTCGTCGTGCTATCAGAAGCGCGAGAACATTGTCGAAACTGTCGCTCTCCTTTGCCATCGTCTTCGAGATCAAGCCTTCTGAAGTGGCGCACTGGGGGCCAATCGACCTTACGCGGGGTTTCCATAGGAACGCAATGGGGTAAACCCTGTTATCCCCGTGTCTGCCATGTCCTTCATAGCCTTCAGTCCAGTCGTACCAATCAAAGGTCTTATCGAGCTTCTAGCATCTCGGGATTCTCGACCTTGAGGTCCGACTCGATAACAGATTGCATGTCGATGCCCTTGTTTTCGAGCACTAAGGTATCCGAAGTTTTCTTGTTGACTTATCAAAGCTAAGCTTTGGTCTGACCTCGTCAAAAGACTCGACTGCCCAGTGTTGTTGAACTAGAAGGTACTGTACGAAAAGGGGTGTGATCGAGGTGTTCCAGCCGTCCAGTTCCCATATCATGAGTCGTAGTTCTGTTAGTAGTTTGGGAAAGCCGTTGAAGGCTGTGATAGGGTTGAGGGGTCAAAAAGAGGCTTCAGCCTCAAGGCCACAAAGGTAAAGAACGCCGTTGAAGGCACTTGGTTGTCGGAGACGGGTCCGTTGTGGTGCGGAAGACATAGATATTCGTTGTTATCGGCTGGCCTACAAGCTAGTTGTTGTGTATCGAGAGGCAGATTGTCATCATTTCGATCCAATTGATCTAAAAGTCATAATCATCACCCTTCCCCAACTCCAAAGATTCTCAACTCAATTGTCCAGGTTCAAGTAACTCATGTTGACTTCTATGCACTCTGATAGGAGCGTACGCAGACAGAAACTTGGAAGACAATCTTCAGGTTCTCATCCGCCGCAATATCTGCACCTGTAGGTCGATCGGGGGGCCAGTTTGCCCTCCTTCCGCCGTTCCTCTTTAACCGCTTCCATGGGATCGGTACTGGGGTTGTCGAGCTCAAAGCGAAGGTTGACGCCTTGAGGGATGAGGTTGGAGAGCTTGCCCAAGTCATCATTCTTGAGCGTGCGGTCACTGTGTGACGTGCATGGGTCGGCTGCTTCGTCGCCCAGAGCTGCTCGGGTCTGTTCGCGGGTGGCGAGATTGTGGCGGCTTGTGTTGCTTTTGGAGAGGGTGGCGACAGAAGGACGGTCGCAGATATCGTCATCCTCGTCCTCGTCCTCATCGGCAGCCCTTTGGTGTTTTTCTTCATGACTTGCCTGGACTCTGTAGGTGCACTCCTAGTAGATGGCTGATTTGTTGTGACAACCTCTTTCGTGTTGATTCAGTATGATGTACCTGGGATTTCCAGTCGGTTCTAAAGACTCTTCGATGAATGTCTAGTGATCGGGAGACTTCTTCCGTTGCGGCGTGAAGCGACAGCAGGGTCGTATGTAGTCATCATCATCGTCCATCTCGGTCGCCGAAGCAGGCGACAGGTTCGCCGTGGATTGCGCCCTTTATCTCTCGTGATAGATAAGCGTAACCTCGATAGAAATATTAGTCTTTTCCGTAAACTCTTCAATGTATGGCTTGATATCATGTAGCGTAATAGGTTCCTTGTGTGCTTTCCTGGGAATATCTCGGGTGACTCTTCAGCCTGCAAGTCGTGTAGCCTCCAGTTATAGGTTGGTGATCCTCAGCAAAAACAGGCGACGGGAACGTTCATCAAAGTTCTGACTGATCTTCTTCTGAATCCGAAACATCATCGGGGACGTGAAATGTTAATGTCCCTCTTGGCCTAGGCCTGCTAGGAGTAAGCAACGTGAGCAAGCCTGGTTCTGGATCCCTTTCATTCAGCATTCATTGCGAATACCAGATTGGCCATGATGTTGAGAGTCGTAACGGCATAAGACAGACATCTTGACGTTTGGTAGGTGGGGGTCCCTGGAAATGAACGCTCCGGGCACCGTGTGGCGTGAATTTGTGTTGCGTGCGTCGTTGGTTGATGGTGCCTATCCCACTCATACAGCTTTCGAAAGAAGGACCTTCAAGAAGATCTGAAGCACCGATTCGGAGTATAGTGCTCCATGCTAAAGACGGTCGTAAAAATAAGTGTTTACTGCGCACCCGGTTCCTTGCACCGAGGCTATAGCAAGCCATCTTGGGTGTCTCGAAAGCTGGTCTGTGAGGTAGATTCTTCAAATCTTGTCGCCGTCTGGCCTGAAACACGATCCAATTTCCTGGAACTGACCTTCGGATTGGGTACACTCATAGGAATGGTGTTCCGACTGTTGTTGATCGAAGCGTCAAGTATTAGGATCTGGGCGATGATGTATCAGTAAGAATAGCTTGACTTCGCAGTACTTATCGTGGGATATGGTGACTAGAATCGAAGAGTTCGCTGGTCTCAAACTCCTTATCCGTGTATTCCTCGGGGCCAATGTAGGGAGCAGAGTTGCTAAGTGGTAATATTGACGCGTCGGAACTTCTGAGACCTGAAAGACTCATTCTCCATCCTTCTATATATAGAAGTATTCAGCTCGTCAAGCGACTGGCGCATGATGGCCAAAGTCGATCCAGAATTCGATGGCATCTTCCCCAGTTTTGATGCGCTTAGCTGGCAAATCTATGTCGATATCGGATACTTCAGCATAGTCAAATCTTCTACGCTTCAGGCGGCTGCTCCGATGAAGAGCAGGTGGCAAACGAGAATAAGCGCGAGAATAAGGTCGAAGCTGGGACCCTTCACCCTTACCGCCTGCTAATTGGTCCTCCCCATGGACTCAGAGCAGGCCAAGGCCACCACCATAACGATGGCCTTTGAACTCCCTAAATTGAGACATCCGCTGTGTTGGATAAAAAATAGCACTCCCTTGGCATTGATTGTCTCGCTGGGTTGGATGCTTCGCCCATGATTCAGCTGCTGCTAATATATTCGAGCCTGCAAGGCTCCTTTGTATCGCACTGATGGAGATAGCACAAGCCTGTCGTACATTGGTTTTGTGTTTGGCATCGTATTCTTGAGATGTGATATGCATCCAGGCTTGGCCGGCTGAGTTGGTACTAGTATCTGGACCGGTACCCGAGCTAGTCATGTCAATGAATCGATCGAGACTCGTATTCCACGTTGTGAACTTGACGCCCGTGGCTCTCGGGGGAAGCTTAGGGTATTGAAGAGTACCTGTAACCATGTAAGTAAGGCAAGCCTCCAAGAAGTGAATGACTCGGGAGCATTGAATAACTCAGGAGAGGGTGCTTATGCAACTCACGTGGTTTCAAAGTCTATGCTGCCGAGCGTCTGATGTTATGGCAAACAGTCTTCTAGTGGGATGGAGCTTCAAGGGAGTCGAAGATTAAAGGTGTGGCTAACTGAAATTCACAGCTCCCGCCAGTATCTCCACCCATCAAGGTTGAGGTCAAGACATTGAGGAACAGTCTGCGGCTGCGAAGGTGGTTGCTGTAGACGAGGCGTGGCATAAACTTAGATATTCCGCCATTTATCCAAGGAGTATGTTTTAGTGATGATAATGTGAAGTATCCTCTCAGGTTGTATTTATTGGGGTTGGCAATCGGGTTGTAGGAAAGACCGATACATTCCAGATCATGCGGCCGTGCTGGGTCGCGGACGGGGCGTCGTTTCTGTGAGAGTTTATCCGTCACTGCCTTCTTGTAGGATTCCCATCTGTCCATGATCCCGAGATCACGGGTTAGCTCGTCAAAGCCGCGCTGGAGGTCTTTCCTTTGAGTCTGCAGTAGAGGCCGTGTCAACCGCGGTGAGTCCAGCGATGGCTGGGCAGTGTTAGGCCGTGGAGCAGCTAGACCGCGAGGCATGAATGGTTCAGATCCAACACCACGGAACTTTGACGCGAGACCTGTGCTCTAGAGTAGAACTAGTGATACAGCATCTGCGTTCCTGGATATCTTCTAGACTAGTCACTGGAAGGTGGCATTTCAAGCATCCGCTTGTTATCCACGAGGGATGACATCTTCTGTATTATTGGTGGTGTTTATTCTCCCATTGAGCCAAGCGGTACTCTTGATTGATGTTTGATCGACGTGTAGGTTTTGCTTGTATGAAAGCTGAACAAAACTTGATCGTTAGCTTGTCGTGGTGACGTATAGCGCTCGCGGGACTCAGGATAATCCCATGTGTATCGTTCGGGCAGCTCAAAGTCAAGCATGTCGATCTCGTCCTCCAGGTGGAGGTCAAAGGCGTGCATCTGGTGAGCCTTCGGGAATTGAGTTGATCTGTAGAAGGAGGTCAGCTACATATATGATAAAGGAGCTGGAATAATAACTTGCCGAAACTTGATCATTCGTCTGCAGGTTTGAACGTCATCCAGCCAAGCTGTATCGGATTGGCCGCATACTGAGGCCGCCGCCGCTTCGAAACGTGCCTGAGTTTCTTTATACTTGTCTTCGAAATTCTCTCCTGGCACCTTTAACCCAGATAGTGGTCGATAATAGATGAACGCTACCAGTGTCGTATATCTAGGTTTGCTGTTGATAAAAAGCCGCCGGGACTTTGACTGGGACACGAATCCCAGCTCCTTTGACTTTGCTCTTCCATCGCAGATCTGCATCTGTTCAAGTCCATGAAGGCTTCTCTGTTACGGTCTGTGACGTCGGCACAAGTAAAAGGTTCTGTATGCTATTGTTTAGCACGTCGACGCCTTGAACTTTGGATCGTTTTATGGCTATAGCGAGGTAACTGTGTGATTTCTGACTGGGACTGAGGTTATTGATCTTGGCGATTTCTTCATGAGTTCGCCATTTATCCATGTCCTTTTTCCATGGAACCAGGAGTTTGAGTATGTTAAGAATATACCCCATCCTCATCTCGGTTCTAGTGTGTCCACTACCAGACAGTGCGATAGAAGGAAGATCGCCACTATAGTAGCAGTCCTGGTTACCGACTACTATAGCATCATAACGCGTTCACTGAAAGGCAGGTCCCCGGGCATGCCCACGCTCAAGCAACATTGGGTCCACACATGATGCGGAACAGATACATGCAGTACATAAATGGCATGTAGAAGTACTCATTCCCATACTTATACTGGGGCCCAGGTCTGAAGAAGTTGCTATATGGGGCCGTGGAATCGGGGTGGAAGGGTCTCTAAACTTACAGCCCTGCTGGGATGGGAACCCCATTACTGCAAAAGGATGTATTCGGGCTCTCAGATATTGTCTGACGACTGAGCACGAAGTACATTTGCCTTGTAGCGACGCTCGTAAGCTTCACGACGAAAGCGCAGCTCCTTGGCGGAGGCTGTATGCCGTTACCCAGCAGCCTACTGAGAAGGAATAATGTAATTTTCTTACTGTTTCTAGGCATCCTGCATATGACCTTTCAGCTGTAAATCATCGTAATTCTGTTGCTTAATCTCGGACAGGAGTGTGTCGTGGATAATGATTGAGGTCGAGCCTGTTACGTTGCTGGGTGGAGTAGTCGCCCCAGTGGTCATGTCGATAGCGAGTTAGTGTTTAAGACTAGTTGGAATTATATTAGTGTTAGCATGATCTTGGTCGTCAGTTGGTTCGATGACCTGTTAAGGAACTGGAGCTCTGTCGCGATAACTTTGAGATACCACATTTGCATGCTCTATCGCTTGTAGTGTTGCTGCGTCTGGCTGATCGATTGCAGCCTCGGTGGCAGTTGGTGCGATGACCTGTTGAGGACGATAAGCCTTGTCATCAGTCATCACCGCCTCTGATAGATAAGGCCGACCTCTCGCTTAGGCTGCATAGCAACTTTATGCATAATCCAACGCATATCGGGCTCTGACATGATAAAAGCCGTTCGATGTTATTGTTCTCGTTAACGCAAGGGACTTAGCCCGTCTCATAGCCACGGTGAGACAGGTCCGCATCTCCCTGCAAGCCTTTGGCTTCCATATGATGGGGACGCAGAGCCTCGAGCAGGCTCTTTTAGGTGCTCATGTCGTGGAGAGAAAGGATACGAAGCTCGCAACCTTGTTTCAACGGCCCACGGCCGGCCGAGCGGAAATGGATCTAAACAAGAGCCAGTGTATAAAGGTCAGACCAGGAGATTGACAAGACATTTCTTGAGCGTCTTTGCTCTCTGCCTTTGCAAAGCGGAACTCTGAACCGCCTAGGATTGGTGTCTCCAGATTGGTCAGGCCCTTGAAAGAGATTACGACCGCCGTTCTGTCGCAGTTCACGGAATGCCGCTCCTAGGATCTTGATATCGGAGTTGTCGTTTGAGATATAGACCGGTTCGTTGTATGGACTTGCCGTCGAAAGTCTGTTCCTCGTGGTAGTATCACTGGTAGGACCCGGAGCTAAGGGCGGTGAAACAGCGAAATGGTTCTCGATGTAGCGAGCCCAACCACAAGCGGGACTTCATAACATCGGTGTCTGCTTAGTTCTCTAGGATGAAAATCTGAGTCACAAAGCTTGCCTGCTCCTTCTGTTTATTCTCTGCGGAGGAGAATAATGCTCTTCACTAATGGGGAAGATTCCATTGCTCTTCCCATCTTGAGATGGTTTAGGTCGAACTCCTCAGCAGCATCCTTAATGCGGCAGGGTATGCCCAGTGCTGGCGGAGGGGCGTTTGTGAACTATCCCGGCGAAAGTCATCGACACCGTAGCTACGCCCGGAAGTTCAGGAGTAAATGACTTGAACATTTCCCGTCGTTCCCTGCAATTGCGTCCTTTGTGGGGATGTTTCACAGTAGATGGTGGAGAACCAAGCTGGACTCGGAGCCGAGGCATTCGATGCTAGCATCATTGTACGGTGTTATGGCGTGTCTCTTGAGGAAGACTCCAAACTGGGTGGCCGCTTACAGCATCATCGGTCTGCGAGGTGTGCTCAACTTCTCTGTCTTCAATATCAATCAGTAAAGGAATGGAAGATATCGTCGATAATTAGGGGACTTACCTCACCAGTAGCCTCAGATATCAGCATCTTTGGGGAAAGCCTCAAGTTGAGCCGCAATTGATCTACCGCTGGCTTGAAAAGCGCAATTATGAGAGTAGTTGATGTGCCACTTTTTAGTTTGCAGGTGTTACCGCCTGGGAAGTCCAAGAACTTGTTGTCGATGGTGTGCTCATGCAGTTTGGACCGCCAGATTTGCTATGGTCTTACCCGGTCGGCTAGTGAGGATGAGTGTCTATCTAGTCGATGGGCCGATAGTCCTGCTTATAGTCAGGGTCGCCATTGGGGTCATAGTCCGGATCATAAATGCAGTCATCCCCGGGTTCATGCTGGTCATCCTCAGGTTCATCTTTGGGGCGATATCTGGGGCCATCTTCGGGGTAAGATGTCTGTCAGATGTGTACTCAAGAGCATTCGAGAAGTAAAGCTATCCAGAGTGTCGCTGTCTCCTTCCGTGCCCTTAAGTAGACAAGATGGTAGTTTTTTAATAATAGTAAAACTTACTCGCTCCCTTCTGCAGGGCCAGTGGCGAAGGTATTCTTCATACGGAAGCAGAGATTGATAGGTGGCCGGAAACAAAGACTTGGTGACTTTGCTTGATGTAGGGCGCTCCGGCTATTGTATAAAGAGGTGTTCTGCTGATATATAAGTCGGATTCGGCTTCGGTTCCCCTTTAGAAGTCTAGCTTTGAAGCTGACTCCACTCATCGCTGACGCCATATTCAGCGAAATTGTCCTTGGTTGTACGTCCCTGGCCATATGTCAGAGAGATTGTAGAAGTTCGATGACCGGGTAAAGGAAGGCCTGGTATCATAAGATAAATTTGGTGTTAGAAGACGGGTTCTGGGTAGTCTCGACAGTGTGCGATCTACCTGTCCGCATCATGGTCACCAATCAGCTTTGGAAACAGGGAAGTGGTTCTCGATATACCAAGCCTGACCACGGCCGCAAGTCTCTGAAAGGTGGTCGGATCTGATGAATCTGTTCTCTTAAGGCGAGACCTTGCCCCTTTCTATGACAAGTCTGAACAATGTCCTTTTTTTTTGATCGCTCTCGCCATCATATGTCACATCATTGTATTCAAAGGGTGATCGTTCTTGTTGTTATCTTCCTCGGCTGTTTTGCCTTCATTGTCGCCGATTTCCAAGCAGGGGCCGTGATTCGCAACGACATCGGGGATGACATTTGACGTCTGGAGCACAATCTTGAAACTGCCTTAATATAACTGTTCGTACTGGATGACCTTCATGGCGGGCAGTGACCAGATGTAGCTCTTTGAAAAGCGGCCACTGAAGGAAGTTCCAGCTCCGAGATGAATGAGCTAGCCTTATCTCACTTCTGCTTGACGTCAAATGCCGCATCATCAGTCTAATCGATGCGTCTGCGTTTTGGGTTTCCTGTCGCAGGTGTTTGAGTTCTGAAGCTGTGCTGTCGATCATCGATGCCGTCGAATTTGAAATGAGCTGTGAGTCTCGGCAAAGATCTGAGATGAGAGATTGATGAATTGTGTTGAGATGCAACAGTGAAAGTCAAACCTCTCCGCCGGACATACCGAAGCAGTAATCCTCAGCGATAAATAGTAAGAGACCAGTTACAGGCTGAGATAACTTCAGGAGAGCCACTGTCAGCTGATTTCATCGATATGATGATTGATACATTCGATGCTCTCCTTTGACGTATTCGTCGTCCGAGGCGATTGTCGTCGTTTACTGTGATCGAGATCAGGCATTGGAAAGTCCCCCCTGTTCCAGTTCCACCTTTTCTGACGTGCAAAGTCGCAAGGTATCTTCCTTGAGGACTAGCACATAAAGTTTGATGCATCTCCATGGTGGCGATGAGTAGGCACGAGTGTGGAGTATAAGATTTTATATGAGACGATCTGTGGGAAATTGTGTAACAGGTAGCAAATGGACAACGACAGTGAAGGGTCCGAAGACCTGATTGTCCATGTATTGGTTTATTGCCGTTGAACGTAACGATAATAAATTGTCTGAAACAGCCAAGTGTTGCAGTTATCGCTTGTTGGGAGCCTAATCCATTGAAAAAGGAGCAATTCAATGCCCTTATTCATCCTGACCTCCTTACTTTTGAGGACCCTTAAGATACGGTGCTCTCGTAGGCCGTATGACACCATATCTAATGGCTCTGTTGTTTGGACTTTGGCGAGTTGTCTCTCAAGAATAGTGACACGTTCTTTGAGACGAGTCACCTCCGCCTTATAGAATTAGCTGAGAGGGAAATAATCTATAGCTTATAAACTTTGTAGTTTTGAGTAAACAAGAAGCTCTTGATAGGAATGCCAGGTCAAGTCTTTATGCTGGAAGCATACCAAGTGCATAAGCCAAAGATCTTTTGAGTTGTCAGTCCTAGACCCTGACCCTGACTCCCCTTGTTGGGATTGCTGTGGTCAACTGGCACCTTGCCTCGCACGGTTGGTATGTGTCTGTTGTCCAAGCATAGTCGGCGTAGTTTTTGGCCTCGGCGGTGGTATATCCTATGCTGAAGCTACGGTATACTGCTCCCGAGGAGAGGCGTGGCAGACATCTCCAGAGAGGATACAGTGTGCAGGTCTTGGGTTTCTACATGATAGAAGCAGATGGTGCAAATCCTGAATCTGAAAGCTGGCGTCGATCAATCTCCGGATTGTCGTCTTTATCTCGATGGACAAGTCAGAAGACATGCTCAGCTGATGTGCTTACCAGAATCCGATCGCAGGACTGGCTGATTTCTGGGCGGATTTGGGTCTGTTGATGCGGTTGCTGCGGTGAGTATTCTCTTTGTACTTCTTGAGGATCCGACTCATTGGCAGTCTTCTAGGGCAAACCGAAGTTCGACGCACTGGACTACATACTATCCATTGCCTCATGCTGGCTTTTATGTAATCTTGTGGTTGATTATATCCTCATCCATCTGAACTGCCGTGATTTGACGGCGCTTTACCATGAGCTTGGGAGATGACCGGCGTTCTGCATCCTTGAAGGCCCGCTTGCTAGTGGGAGGGCTCTGAGGGGCAAGGCGAAGAGGCCTTTGACCACGTGTGCGTACTGACGCATGGAGACACTATATGGTGTCTGGATGATCACACACACGGCTTGCTTGCTGTCTGTGATGGCTTGTAATGGCAACTCGCCTAGACGATGACAATGCCGATTCCCAAGATGTTCTGATTTGCTGAGAGGATGTACCACTTACAAACCCGCCCGTCTGGGGATCACGTAGAAATGAACTCCTCCATGTGGTATGGTCTATTCCTTCCCTTTCTTTTCTTCTTCTCTTTCCTTTACTTTTTATTTCCTTCTTCATTCTCCTTCTTTCTTTTATTTTTTATTTTCTTTCCTTCTTTTTTCTTGTTTTCTTTCCATTTTCTTTTCTTCTTTTCCTTTTTGCCTTATTGTCTCTCTTCTCTAAGCCCATCAGATGGCTCAGGGACTTCGATTGGGCATCTGCAGGAAAGGATCGTCGATGGTATACCCCAGGAGGTGCAGGAAAGCTATGCGATTTGACTCCCCGGGCATCTTGCCACGCCGGTTGTGGATTATGAGTGCTATATCTGCTTGTGTGGATAGGCAAAGAAGACGGCTCCCAGATTTGACTTGGACAAGATGTGGTAAGGGCTTGCTTGTGGGGGACGTCGTGAGAGGTGCCCAGTATCACAGTGACTGCAGAGTTTGCATACTTTGTCAATTATCTCCGGAAGAAGAGAAAGCAGATCCGCCGCGAGACACCCTTTCTCCTGTCTGGTCAGCACTACTCCAGAACAAGCTCGAAGCTTGAACCATTGGAGTGCATCCTGGATGACTAGTCTGATGGGATAATTGCGCGTATCAGCACCTACGACACTGATGAATATGTGGTCCCAAAGTCCAGATCAATAATCAACCTGTTATAAGGGACTACTATATCAGTATCGTGAATGTGATGATTGTTAGATCGGGGGCTGGAAGGCACAAGAGCCGTATCTTGCTCAGCGGACAATGGAGTACTTGGACAACTCACAATCTAGGCTTCTACACCGAAACGGTCGACTCCTTGTTTTTCTTCATGTCAAAGTCGACGACAGTTTCGATCTTGCCTTTGGTTCTGTGGATGTAGGCCTTGGAGAGCTTCTGTAGCTTCTTGCCTCGTAGTTATATGCAACTTCGACGACTATGCAAGGGTGCCTCGATCGGGTTTCTGTTTGCTGGGATATAGCCATGCGAAACTACATGTTCGGCGTAGGGACTATAAGGGCCAGTTGGCGAGTTGGTAGGATATATATTCATATGCGAATTGACGGGGGTTCATACCAACACTTTCCGTAAGGGTTAGGCCGGGTTTGATGTCGGTAGTGATGATTTCGTCCAGGGGATATGGTGTACGCACATGATGTATGATATCTGCATTCAAGATACTGGTGAGTCGAGCTGTGAAGGGATTGTCGAAATATGATTCGAATGGTCCTTTGGTGTTGTCCTTCACTTGCGGCTTTGTTGAGCAAGGTATAGTTGGCGTAATATATTCTGTTCTGTTTGCCGCCTAAAGACACACCTTTCTTTTCGCCCTGTGTATGTCGTTCCAGTGAAGGCGGATGAGCGCAGGGTTGCTGAGGAGCATCGTGTTCGCCCTCTTTCTACAAGACTTGAGGTTCGGAGCCGTGGAGGGACTAATGTCTGGGTGATCCTTGGTCCGAATCTCTGCGTAGTTCTTGGTGGCACCCCTCGGAGTCTACCGATGGGCCGGGAAGAGGTGTAGGGCAGGAAAGATCAATAGTGACAGATGCTCTTGGATCGACATTCCCAACGGCCACCGCGCCAGCACTGGCAAGGCGGGGGAAGAGATGGGAATACGTCCTGGTAATAGATGTAAACCGCCTCAAATGGCTTCGTATCGACGGTCAAGACGCCGCTGTGGTAACGCTCAAGACCACTTGGTGGTAACAGGTAATGGCCGAAGGTAGCATTCTTGTTTACGATGTCGGTGCAACGAGGAGACGATTGTTGTGTGCATGGGTTAAGGCTTTGGTGTTTTGGTATGATAACAGTCTCCATATTGACGAAACTGTAGGTTTAGTTGTCATTGAGAGGCTTGAATTAGTCTTGCGCGGACCGTAGTTTATATCCTTCGGATCTTCCGAAGTCTTATCCTCAGGATATAGATCTTCATCGGGTTTGGACGACGTTAATTTCAAGTCGACAGGTTAAGCTCAATTAGGGCGCTGGAATAGACTGAATTGGCATAGGGACAGTTCGAGGTATAGCATTAACTATTCCCTCCCTTTTCGCCAGGCAACGGTCTGACTGGTTACTCTCCTCTTCTAAGAAGAATCTAGAGCTTGTAGGCTTCTACTGCTTTGATGATAGTAAGTGCTCTGGGTTGACGTCAATAGTCTACTAGGAAACTAGGAGTCCTTTTGTAGGCTCGAGTGAAGGGCTCTGCTGTTGCAGCTGTTATTGCAGGATTCTTGTTTGTGATGTCGGTCAAACAGCATCATTCGGGCTCAGGTTGCAGATGTATGCATTGTTCCCGCATTGATCTTTGTATAAAGGCGCTGGCACTTGCAGCAATTCTCCAGGCAATTGATTGCGCATTTCCAGAGAATTTGCTTGGAAGGTCCAGGTTGCTCAGTGCAGGGTGAGTCGCGCGAGAACGTCTTTCTTGTTCTGCTCCATTATAATATACTCTTTGCTTTGGGAAATTGAACCCGCGCGGTCTGGCTTCTCTATGTTGATTGACAAGTACGGGTGCGGGTTCAATGTCTCTTAAGTTCTCCGGTTCTCGCGCCGGGATGTCACAAGAAGGATTTGAGGCTCTGCGGAAACTCCGAGAGCCATTTATTGACTCTGCGCTCGTCGTCGTTGAGTTTGGTGTCGAGTTCCGTGCACATAGCGACCTGCGTCGCCAGCTATCATTATAATTGTCAGATACCTCAGACTGAACGTGACCCAAGACGCAGGTGATAAAGTAGGTGATTGTATCTCGCCACAATCATATAGCCCGCTATGACAACGACCTTGACAACGAGCTCATGATCTATTCTTAATGGGGCATATTGGTACTGTCCGTGAATAGCGCTGATGACGATGCCACATGAATCGAAAGGCTCATCGCATCGAATGCCATGGCTTGAGCAGCTCTCGTTGGGCCGTTTGAGTTGTCAATTGCCTTCAATCTTCAACGCCAACTGTTTTCCAGTAGTTTGTAACTGGCGGTTGATTGATCTGGCGCCCAGAGCGAAGAGGTCAGTCCACTATGGTATCCTTCTTGATGGACACATTGCGTAGTGTAGCTCCGAGGCGAGCCCCGGGTACTATTGCACCGATCTGGATGGGATGTGCTAGACGGGGGAACAGGTGGTCAATAGCTACTTGTTTGAACTGGTTTAGTCCGTTGATCGTGTGGGGGCATATTCGGTTATTGGAATCTGGCACTCATCCCACCGTTGCATATGTGACCGATTAACAAGTTTTGCATAAGACTGGCATGTCATGTCTTTGATCGACTTCACCAGCTGGCCTTTGGAGTTGACGCTATTGGTTTGAGATACGAAATGATCAATTGACAGTATGCCTGGAAAGTCGGACTGACTGGCGTCGATACATGTTGACTTCCAAAGAGCAGAGGCAAATAGTTTGCACTTGGACTTGGCCCCTTGAGCATGCTCTTTAGGAGGTCTTTCGGCATTCAATGACGTCTCGAGCGGGGCAGCATTGAACGGCTCGCCGTAACCACCATTGACAGAAGACCTGTATTGGACAAGACTTTGGGTATCCCGAGTGTGATCCCCGGGCTCAAAAGGCACCGCGCCAGGATTATTTGAAGCACTCTTGATCTGACGCGCGCTGAGGAGCGCGAGATAATTGTCGACACTATCAGTCTCGCTTTCTTGGCCATTGTTTGCCGCAGGTAGGAATTCCGAATCGTCGCTTGAACGTATGAGGGCGTCGCGGTGATCTAGCGGGTAGATGACTTGGGTCGGTACATGCGGGAGCTGGAGACATTTGGTAATTCTCTTTCAAAGCCTCCTGAGTCATCAGATCTTTGGCCAAGTAGCACGAGAGGCAGAAATTCTTCTGACACTGCTCTTCCAACGAGCTGGCCTTATGTCATTGGAAACTGTCTTCAGGCATCTGCTTTCTGTCACGTTTCCAGTTGGTCTTCTGTCATTGATATGAAACCCTAATTCTTTCCCGACGGCATGGTATATGCACGAGATGTATGATGTCCGCATTCAAGACGCATTGGTAGCCAGTCATATAAGGTAAAGTGAAAGACGGAAATATGGTGCTGGTTTGTTGATAATTTCTCGTTCCTTTTCTGGGCAGTAAGTGAGGAAGATGTTTGGCGCTGCTCTCCCAAACGTTACTGGTCTCTTTTTGTACTCTTCCAGTCTCAAAGTAGCGGGAGACGAAGACGATTCACATTCTTGGAGCTTCAGCAAGCAAGTGCAAGTACTTGACCTGCTTGTTGGATAGTATGAGTACAAGCTTGATCTCGAAAGCCTGTGATCCCATTACCAAGGACTGCCACGCCTGATTCCTCATCTTCTGAGAAGCTGCCAGATGAGCGCTCGGACATGTCCTGGCTGTTTGACGGAATACAAAAATCGAGTGTTTGCAGAATTATGTGGCTCAGCCCTTAGGCCTTGTTAAGGTTGGCCATTTTGCCTTGTGATCGAGTGATTTGTTCTTGACCTGTCCGCCAGGTGGAGTCTTCAGGGGCTTGAAGGTATCGCCAAGCAGGTAGTTAGAGCCACGGGTGTTTGTGAACCCTAACAAGCGATCTTGTCTTTGAGGTTGGTGCGGTATCGCTTCTCGATCATGCCCCTTGCTGTCTTCTTGGGAGGCGAACAGTGGAAAGCACTTGCCTTCTTCCCAAACGAGGTCTGGGGTGTTGATCACACGTTAGGAGTCGAAGGGCAGGCAATTGTAAATTTTGGATCAAGCCTCTTGGTAGCTGAGATCCATATGCTCGTCCTCGAGCCTTGAGATCTGGTACTGCAAGAGTGAGACCTGCGGAGTGCAAGAGCAGTTCTTCAACCTTGTGACGCTTGCCCCGAAGCCGTTCAGGGCCCAAGCCTGGCACTAAGAAGATGCAGAGCTTGAACCTTCACCACTTTGGGGAGGCTTTGGTTGAGGCCGTATAGTCAGAGCTTACTTAGCTCAGCGAAACCGTTATTGGTGGTAGGATTTTCTTGATCCTTCAGGAGTCCAGCAATAGAAAGTGCTGCAGCGATCTTGGTCCCAGTCTTTGGCGCAGCGGGATCCTCCGATCTTCACGATTGCGAGACCAGGAGCAATTGGGGGTGAAGCGCGTCGTAGTCGGGTGAGACACTCGTTCAGTTGCTGAATTGCATCTTGGATGTCATCAAACTGCGTGCATTCTAAATCGCGGCCAATGATCTTGATTCGCATTTTTAGATCGACCTTAAAATGCCTCGACCCAACCTTATTCCCAGCCTTGTCAGTGGGTGCATTTTCAAGCGTAAATAACCAAGGCTTCGTCTCTCAAGAGAGAGACATCAACTTCGATGGCACCCGCTCTTCCGTATCCTGTGTCAGAACACGTCAGACTAAGTGTCCTTGGAGTGGGATCTTTGAAGGCCGCCGAGTACGCCACTCCGATTTGGGCGCAAAACCTCAACCATTCGTTGACCAAGTATATCGGACAAGCCAATGGAGGAAATTTTTGGAGATGACGTATGTCAAGAGGATTAACAGAATAGCAATAAGTTCAGGCCAAAGTTCTGTTCCTAGTGATGTTCTGAGGTTCTATGAGGACAGAGCCGTCAGAGTCATGAGGTCGGAAGAGTCGATCCGTGGTTGCATGAGAGGGAATAGATCCAAGGCTCTTAATTCGGACCTCAGCCCTAACCCTAAGCTTATCAATTGGAAGAAGAGGCATAACATTTCTCTTGCCGGGGCCAGGATGATTGATGTTATAATCAGTCGTGAGATGCCAAGGAGGAATTAGGGTCGAAAGGCATGCAATACTTTTGCACCCAGGTTCCTTCCGATCTAATGCTACCCTAGTAGCAGGATCAAGAGGAAACGTGATTAGGCTCATCGCGATCAGCTTGCACTTGTGGAGCCAGTTGGGTTAAAAAAAGGGAAGAAATAATACCATATAAATCCTGAGGCTATGCAAGGGACCCATCTTGCCTCAAGTTGGAGATAGGTAATGAGGGCATGAAGGATATTTGTAGTGCTAGTGTAGCTGGAACGTAAGCGGAATAGAATCATGGCTAAGGCACAAGAATTTGAGTAGGGTGGAGGGAACACAGATGCCATAGGATTAGCCGGTCAAGGCAGCTGCGTTTTTTTCCTATTTTTGGAGTCTCGTGGCCGAAGATGTCCTTTTCCTCATATGAGGGAGGTTCCCAACCCTTCCGAGCATCGTTCTTGGGGATTCTGGCAGATCGACTGTGGTGACAAATTCATGCTAGGTTTCAGAAGGTTTGCAAGTGCCATCCAGTTCTCAGTGTGGCCCTTGTCGAAAAATGCTCGATGGAAGGTTTCTGCCTTGCGCTGAAGTACTTCCACATCAAGCTGTAACTTGAGATTGTGTCGCATGGTAGATTCTTTTTCTTGCTCGGATTATCGGTGTCTTCTCAAGCTCTTCAGTCTTCGTGACACAATGCGCTTCCCGTTTCATCGAACACGATGGTTCGATCTAGACTATCTCCTCTTAGAGCGGCGTCCATTGCTGGAGGAGTGCCTGTATGGCAGGGACGCGTGATGAAAGTAGGCCTGGGGGAGGGTCGGTTGAAGCTGCTCCGCCACTAGAGTGCGTACAGTAGTATCTAACGTCGTGTGCTATAGGTGACTTGAAGAACAGTGATATACTATGGGCCATGCGGTGTAAAACCGTTGCCAACTATCTTTCTATAGCGCCTTGAGGATAATGGGGACAATGACACCTGCCAACCACCGAGAACTTTGTCGGGTCAAGAGCTTCAGATACTTTTGAGGATAAACCCATCGACCTTTTGTTTGAGAGGAGTTTTTGGAGTTTGTGAATCAAGAATATCATAGGATGGAACCCATGATTGGTGGCGATGCCAGCACCGAAGGAAGCATGAGAAGTTAGCTTCTGGAAGTCTTCTTTGGACAATCTAGAGTCAAAGAGATCCAATTGTTTCTTGCGATTGGCCTCTGCTGCCCTTTGCTTCTGGACCTCTTCCAGATGATCACCATATCGGATCAATTCCCTGCACAGAGCTCTTTCTTCTGGGTTCTCCTCACGGCTGTGTCGTTCAAACTCACCACAGAGGAGCTTAATGTCCTCGTCTCTCTTGTCGTCTTCAGCGTCTCGAATCTCTAACATCGAGAGTCTCCCGAGGAAGGAGAAACCTTTTGGTATTGGGTGTCATTCTCTCCAGAGAGTCTTTATCATCTGCGGCGGGTAACTTGATGCATGGCTTGCATTTACTCCTTTGGACCTCACAAGGTTGTTCTTTAGGGCAAGACTGGCATCGCCCACGACAAGTGACGCTTGCCCGGGATACCAGCTGTATCGAAATACATAGCTGGTTATTTCCGCTTATGATGATACTTCCCACTAGGCTGATAATGCTCCGTCCACTCGACAATAGGACCGTTGGCAGCCTGTGGCGCGTGGTCTGTTGCTGTATAGCTTCCGAAAGGATGGTACGTTCGAGGCTCTCCTGGACCAACGCACCGACCATTGTAGTTGATTGGCCGCTTGCGAAGCTATTATGTGTCTGATAAACGTGGGTGGTCCGCCCGCTGCTCCAGGGGCGCACTGTTCAACCTCGTCATGAGGTTCTCATGCTCCCTCATCTAAGCCATACCAATAACTCTATTACACTGGCGACCCTGTGATTTTACCCACTCAAACACCTGGCTCCTTCCTGATAGATGTGCGGAAACACAGTTTCGAGTCCAGAGTTTGGTCGGAGCTTGGAGCGGGCGACAAGGTTTGACAACGCCATTGTAGGTACTTGACGATGCCAAAGTCGGATGACTATCTTCCGCATCATAGATTTCGTGGTTTCGCTTGATATGCAGCTCCAACTTATTGACCATTACTTGTTCCACAATGCCGTGAATGGTATCAGGCCCGGGATTGTCAGAAGCTGCGTTGCCACAGAAAGCTCAGCCGGGGTATCAGGCGACAGGATTGAAGGTCCTGGTGTTGTTCCTCTCATCCTCGTCACGCTTCACCCTGGACTTTGGAACCGCCGTGCGCTTCTTGACACCCAACTCCTCATGCCTTAGCGGCTGAACTTTTGCCTCGCTTTGCCTTAAAGGTGGCTCATGGCATCTTGAAGCGGGTTTTCCTTGCAGAAATGCTTCTCGTGCTTCTCGCATCCAAGAATAAAGTGCATTCTGTGTCTATGTCGAGCAGTTGTTTCATAGACACGTGGAACTTCTCGTTGAGGTAGGGATTGCTGCGAGATCTTCGTTGGCGATCAGCTGCCTTTGTTGCACGTGTGCTCCTGCGGGCAACTCTCCTGGGCGGGATGAGTAAAGAGCTTTCTCACCGCACTTGATTCTTGACTCCCCAGTGAGTCGACAGATTGTCGTTCTAGTCTCATTGAGGTTGATAGTGCTGCGCACTTTGTGAGGCGTGATTCTTTGGCAGTGCTTTACGAGCTGCTTGCACTCCCTGATGAGTACTCCCAGCTCCGACAGTTGTCATCTAGACGACCCATGTCATTCATTCGTCTTGCGACACGGTTACGTTCAACGTTGTGTGAGTGATGACATGGTGGCTTGTATAAATATGATAGCGAGTCACCAAGCGGAGTGACTCTGTTGTTGATCGTGTCTGAGCCACTACAGATGGATCTTCTGATTGTGCTGCATCGGCCGAAGCGACTAGGACCATGATGATTTGCATGCTTTTGTCGAGTCGCATTATGTACGGTAAACTTGCAAATCCATGTCGTGGTTTGAGTCTCGCACAGTCTGATTCCAAATGAAACGGACGCCGTTGATTTTGTCCTCATTTTCTTGGTGGCGAGACCGCTGTTGCTTTGGCGAGGAAAGACTGATGATCCATGTGTGTCCACAGCGCTGACTTGCTGAGGTCAAGCAGGAGGAATCTGGTTGCCAGGTTCCATCACGGCTTCTGGGACACGAAGAGTTGTATCTTCGGTCATTGCGGAATGGCGCCTTTGAAGTTGGGGGCATCTCTAGCATGGTGTTTGGAAAAAGCACCGAGAGGATCGAGTATCTGATGGGTTGGTGCCAGGCTGAACAAATCGTCCGAGTTGGATAAGCAACCTGAGTCCAATGCGCTCTTGATCCAAGAACCGATCAACATGTGTCTGCCGGATGTACTCAGCGACCCTTGATACGACGATCAATGTTTTCGTGACGAACCCGCCATTGGCCAGGAGGGAACTAGGCGATATGCCCGTTACTAAGTAATTGTATCAGTAGGAAGAGTCGTCCGTCGTGTTCTGGTCCAACGATTTCTGGTTCAAACATCTTGGTCACTAGGAGACACCCTGGTAAACCTCATCAAAGCTGATTGTACCACGCTTCGGCGGTGAGGTGAGCCTGTCAGTATTCAAGGCGACCTCCCTAGGACTTGTTTCAGACACATCTGATTGTAAGCGCTTGCCATAGGAAAGATGAAGCGCTGAGCTATAAATCGACGCACATAGCCAGGAGCATCGTCTTGATCATTGGTCAAACTCTGGACGGGAAATGGCCACGTTGAAAGCCCAAGTTATGGTCTTCAGATCAGGGATCGTAATCTCTATTCTCTGCGGCTTCTGACTGCAGATATCAAAGTCCCTCTTTATCCGTGGTCCGAAATGCTCAGATATAAGCGTTTCGATAAGAACGTTAATACTCCCATATTGTTCTCTCAGGTTATCTTCATCATCGAGCTTCTGGAGCATGTGTCTCGTGTTCACAAGGAAAGAACAGGACGGCCAAAATAGTCATCGCGCCACATATCGCAACTGTACATCGAGTATTTGGCCTGGCTCCGATGCATGGAAGAGGTTCTCGACGCTCTTGTTTTACACATCGATGCGAAATTGACACTGAACCGAGATGTACAGTTGTTTATCATCGGCAAGGTCGTGACAGAGACATTTCGACGTCCTTCAGTTTCGCGAGGGCTTGGTTGCCTTGAGCCTTGTCTTGGAAGGTGAAGTTGTCTCGGGAGACACCCCAGAGGAATGGGTAGCTAACCTAACTACCATCAAAGTGGCGAACTGGGACCGGACATGATGTAGGAGGTAATTCAAGTGATCTGCTATCACATCTTGATAGCTGCTCACTACGCCAATTCTCTTTAGTGTCCGTATACGACGAGGCAGAAGCGCAGCTGGTATAGACAGCATGTTGAGTTGGCTGGTGACTAAGATATTAATAGAGTAATGTGTACTCTATTATATCCAGTGTTGAGTCAGACTGACAATGAAAAGCTCGACATATCCATCCAAATCAAATGGAACTCCCCTCGATGCCGGTCTTTGGATCAGTATCGTCAGTAATGAATGACTGTCGCCAATTATTTCATCTCGCAGCAGTGTTTCGGATGTCAATCTCACGGTCCAGTGTCATCATGTGAGGCGGAGGATGATTTCCGAGTCACGATCACCCCGACCAACCAACTCAATGATCGATCGACAACAGTACGACGCCAATAGGGTGGCTCTGCAGCTGGTGGTTCCTTCAATCTGTCGGTATTCAAGATTGAACAGCTGAATAGCGACCTTCGTCAAAATGAGGTCCTCGTCTTTGATCTGGAGGTGAATGATGTCTTTGAGAGCCGACTAACTGCTTGTTGACGTCTCCAGCGGTCGGGGGTGTTTGGTGGCTGCGCGGAAGTGTGGTGTCACCTGCAGAAAGCTCATCATTGCTGTTGCAAGGCTTATTGATGTGATTGCCTTGTTGAGCCTTCTTGACCGCTTTGATGTGGTTTGTCTCAGAGGTGCAAAATGAAAAGAGCGTGTTGACTGTCAAGCTCGAGTAAGGAGCGTTATGCAAGGAACAGCTGTCAGGTCTATCAAGAGACACCATTTTTTATTGTCAAGCCCTGTTCTTCGTCTTTGAATGGGTCGTAGTCAAAGCGACGAAACGGAGCTTCAACCTCCTTGACAATCATACTAGGGTGTTCCACACAGCTCTCCGTAGCCTTGTCGGCCGATCATGTGGCTGCCATCGTGGATCGCTTGCACATATGTAACGGCTGTGAGAGGATCAAGGCAGATGTTTAATGGCGAAGCTCTCGTTGCCTTCTGTAGTGAAGAATGTAGCAGTGCGTCTTCGAGCCCTCTTGAAATCTTCCCAGCTAAGAGGGACAGTCATGTGAAAGTCTGGATTGGGTGAAGCAGTTGAGACCTCACACCACACTTGTGACAGACAGTCAGAGACCGCATGAGCGCGCTCAAGGGAATCGGGAGGCGAGAGGAGTTCTGTGGATGGAATGACTGCAACGCAGGACTCGTGGTGGGGGTAGTATGCACTGTTGGTGGTAACCCTGGCTGATGAGCTGACGATGGCATCCGACCAAGCAAGATTGTCAAAGGCAACTGAGCACGTTTTCGCCACTTGCACAATCTATAATCCATCTGAGCACGTCGAATATCGCGCCAATGCCTCGCGTCGAACTTAGAGGAACTTGGGTGAAGGCCATGTAAGGCAAAATAGGGATCAGGCGTAATCCGAACCCTCATCGCAAATTGTCTCCAGTTCACCTCAACCTTCGTCTTCACACTCCCAGCTTGTTTTAGCTGATCTTTTAAGGTCATCTCTTGCTCAGCTTTCTTCAAGCGTGAAGAGTGACCAAAGTCGAGGCTCAGTGCTTCTGGCAAGACCAAACTCCAATCGCGCCTGGCTTTGGATCCAAACCGTGGATGACCTGTGCTCTTCTTATTTGAGGGTACTCCAGGCTAGAGCGCGTGGACTCAGTGGACAAAACGCTTGAAGGTCTACCTACATCTTCGCGCGAAGGTTTTCGCGTGAGGTCCTTGTAGAGGTCTGCTAGCTCTTTGGTGGATAGATGAAATCGATAGCATCTCTCATCACTCGAGCTGAGGTATCGGGTGTGTTGGGTGTGTCTTCGAGGAGGTGACTTGAGCCAAAGGCGCCTTGGTTTGCGAGTTGAGACACGTCGCTTGGCCGGCGAAAACGTCGGCCAGTCCGTTGATCGATCAACGAATCTTTGAGAGGTTTGAGTAGAAGATGTTCCAACCCCAACACAAAGGTAAGGAGCACCGACCAACTCATTTGGCAATATACTCGTTGTCCTCCTTGGCAACTAATACGTAGGCTTTAGGTGAGAAGCCAGAACTTCTGGTGGTTGCGGCCAGGAGTGGAGAGATGAGAGCGCTTGCTACTCAATCGTTTCAAGCATGGAAAGTCTCAAAGAGGAAAACTTCAACTTGTGAGAATAATATGAACAAGCTGTAGGCTCGTTCAAACCAACTAAGAGGTACAAAGCGCCTTGAGAGAGGCGATAAAGGCAGCTGAGGTGGAGGCAAGACTAGAGGTCGTCAGAACTGTAGACACAGAGAGGTCCCAAGTAGAACAGTTAAGGACAATGCAGTCAAAGACCGCAAAAAGGGAGGAGTCCGAAGAGGGAAGGTTACAACGAAACAAAACTATGAAGAGCGTACTTAACAGTAGGAGAAGACCGCAGTGGTCAAAGTCCTGCAATGTCCTCAACCACATGGGGAGAGAAGCCGATGGCAAGAGACAGGCTTCCGAAGATGGGTAGATGTTAGTATTGCATGACTTGAACATGATGTAGATGGAGCTCACCAGCTACAGACATCCAACTGTCAAGACTCAACGTTGACACTTGGAGTCAAGCCTCGTGAGGCACCAAGACCAGAGGGGACAATGGAAACGCCAGATCCTCAGCAGGTGAGGCAGGCAAGGCGAGGCCAAAGACAAGAGGAATATGGCCAGACCGAAGAGTTGCCAAAACCTCTGTCAAAGACACAAGTGTCGAACCCTAAAGAGGTAAAGGTGAATAGAGAGATATAAGTCAACTGTGATGGTGCAGGGGGAGAGTGAAAAGATGAAGACAACAAGTGTCAGCAAGCAAAGTCCGACTGTGAGATGCTCGAGACTGTTGATCAGAAGAGAAAGGAAGGAGAGAGGTATTTGAATAAGATGTCTGCTCTCCTCATCATGTGGGAGTTGGGACTTTGAGAATTTCTAAGGTTGGTGTTTCTTTGGCCAGTGGTACATTGAATGCCACGTATTTACGCAGAGAGCCAAGGTATTCCCGCCGTGCATCGGAGGATTTCTCCCGATACGGTATTCTCGTGTCACACCCCTCATTTCGATGCCTGGCATCACGGTCCGGCGTGTCACATCTAAGTGGTCCTGTATCCTCTCGCTTCCCGTGGTAACGGCTGAGACGGAAGGGTTGTGATCACGACAACGTTGAGGAAGCCCAGAAGCGGTGTTTGGCCTGGGGATTTATCCGTTTGCCCGGGACCAGAGTCTCCGGGGTGTGAATAACTCACCAAATTCCGTCCCACGATGCCTTGATGTCACGCGTATCTCAACATTGCGCTGCATCAAAACGGCACGTTTAAACGTTGACCGTTGGTGTACCGTACCCCGCTGATGTGGCGTCTAAGACACAGGGGTCCAGCCAGGGCAGGGCAGGGCAGGGTGTGTACCCCTAAGATTGATCGCCGATCTAACGATCTGGTGTGCCTGGCAGGGCAGATGTAACCTTGAATCTCCACGTTGCGGAGGCATGCAACACTTTCGGCGAGTTACGACAAAAAGATATCAAACGATGGCCTTTTGTGCATTTCCATTGAATCGGCGACGTAAATACTGCTTAGATGATCATGATAGCCAATTTTCTGGCTTTCGATATGAGTTGTAGTGAAATGTTGTTTGCAGGCCTACTGCAGATCCAGGGCTAGAATTTGGGATCCGAAGTTGCTAGGCATAATTCGGACATTTATGTTCTTGTGAACTGAATGTCGTGCTCAATTTTACGACATCAACTCAATCACTCGTTACGCGTTACATCTGAGCTTGATGGTCCAGTTGTGCTGACGTACTGGCCATTGCCTCCCGTCCGCATCGGCTGGCTCAAGACTCAACCAAGTTCCATCAACGAGGCTCGGTCGGATCTCGTGAATATCAGCATCATCAACAAAAACACGTCATCGCAGGCACTAGCACCAGTAGTGCCAGAGGTCACCGTGAAATGCAAATGTGAAAGCACATAAAATAAGGTGCTCAATCTCGGGGACAGACTCAAGCCATGTCGCACAGTGGTGCACACTCCAGAGCTACAGCCGAATAACCGAGCCAACATATCTTGCAGCTAAGTTAGACTCCCGACTCAACCGCAGATGGGAAGCCTCCGTTTGGCTGGCAGTGGCTATCCGAGAGCAAAGGTGCCGTCTTCTTGACTCCTCAACAATTGATGTTGGTCGACGTGTCATTATGCAGGCTGGCTCGTCGGCATAAGTATTCGCTTGGCACGCGCGAGTCGTGTGAGGCAAGCCGTGTCATTGATGAACTCTTTTCACGGTACAGCAATCACTGACATGTCATAAAGAGAATGGGAGTCAGAGGAGGAAGACTGGCCTTGAGAAGTTGTGGCTAGTCGAATGCTTGGAGTCTCTGAGCGCGACTTGCTGAAGTCTTGGTCTATTTGTTCAAGCATTTGCGTGCTGAAGGAATGGGCCGATGAAATCAATTGACTCTTATCCCACATCCTCTGCCCTCTTGACCTGCTAAAGTAACGTATGAATTTGCGATGGAAAGCATCAACCTCGAATTCATCTGCATGGGACTAGTTGGATCAGCCCAAGCCTCCAGAATATTTCGCAGATCCACGACAAGTCCAAGATGTGTACATGACCAATTGCTGCGAAAGTCCGACAACAGATCATGATACCGCCTGAGAGTTGAGGACATCGGCTGTGCGAGACTCTGCCGCAACTCATATCTCACCTGCCACCGGGCTAGCTAGCAACCGGCAAAGCCTTCTGTCTGTCCGACACAGCACATGTGCCAGTCCATATTGTCGGCTCCCAACAGTGGGAAAGTGCAACAGTCAACACCGCCATTGTGTAAGTAGCCTTTGCGTGGTTAGGTATTTAGTCATAATCCACTTGAGTTGTTCCTTGCCGAAACGCGCCCTGAAAGTCCAGGCCTCCACGCGCACCGGCAGATTGAATCCCAACAGACGGGATCTTGCATCGCAGCCCAAGTGTGAAAGTTGGGCTTCGTAAAGACATGGCGAATTGCGTCTCGAATTTTACCATCCAAACGAAAAAGTCGGACCGCACTTTCGTCCCATTACACCATCCTAATCGAGCCCCCTTGCCGTCACCCAACATCTCCATGGGTGGGATCCAGACAAACGGAGCGAGGCGTACGTAACAGCCTGGTCTTCCACGGCGAGAAATGCACCCTCCCTCCCGACATCCGTGATCTTAATGTTGCTGGCGATATCGGCTCCGGACTTTACGCAGCGCAACCGGGTGCTGGCTTCTACGCCGTTTGGCTCAACCTCTTGACCATTCTTCCCCAGGCAACCACTGTCACCCCGCTCCTCGAAACCTGAGGCAGATGTAATGATTGGCGAAGCGGCGGCTGTCCAGATCAGTATTGTCCCGTCGAAGTACGTAGCAGCAACATTTTGGTGCTGGTCGCGAGGGTAAGTGAGAGCCCGGTCAGAGCAGACTCGTGTGGCTATGTTCTCATCAATGTGGAACTGATGGTGGCCCTGATCACCAAAAACCATGATTTATAATAGTAAATTCTTCTGGCACAGCTGAGGCGTTTCAAGAGAGTAAGTCACGCGAGGAAGTGAAGCGCATCGCTTAGATGTATTTTGGGAATATGAATCGTAATAGGACTGGAGTAGAATCTGCTTCAATTTGTCTGGGAGACTTTTAGCAAGGCGAAGGTCCAATGAGGCTATACGTATTTGTCGTATCAAAAGTACTTGGTTTCTGGCCAGGGACAGCTGTGATTATGAGGACTCCTAATACTGAAAGTGTGATTTGTTGACTTCACTTCTGGTGCACTGTATCTTCAAGGAGACTTCGGTGTCGATGCCCCTGAAGGCATTCCCGACGACATCGAACAGGCGCAATGAGTGTACGTCTCCCTCAACACTCCATCAAACACGAGCAGCGGCTCCAAAGCCGCTCATGGTGTACCTACTTCTGCATGGCCATATTGTCAGGCCCCCTTTAAGGGTCCCCGTCCGCTCTCCAGATCGATGACGATCATCGAACTTGGCTGTTGTATGTGTGCTTGCTGTTGGCTTCGATGATCATTATATTTTAGGGGTTGAGTCGTGATGCAGCTGAGGCTGGCAGTTCATCGGATCACTCAACGCCCATGACCCTTGGCTGTCGGTATCGACGCCAGCAAGGCTGTCAACCACGAATGTCGTCGTCACCAAGAACACTGAGTTGGAATCTATCATGAAGAAGCAAAGATTTGGAAATGAGACCTAGATTGTTTATTTTCCGCCAGCTCACAAAGCAGCAGATGGTATCATGGTAGTGTCTGGACATCATCATGCACTACGACAAGCGTAACAGGGCAGGCAAGAGAAACTCAATCGATACATCAACAGCCAGCGCAACAAGATTCGATACTTCTCAAACCAGCAAGAAGCCATGCCCGTGCATGCTAATCGTGATGCAGGCAGGATGGTAACGGCGCAGGAAGGGGCAGGGGCGAGACGCAAGCTCTGGTGGACTGGCACTAGGTCGGCACTGTAGTAGTGATGGCTGCAAAGACAAAGGTATGGGGCAAGGTCGGAAATTTACAGGACTAGTTGGCTGGAACTGATCAGGGGTCGACGAGTGCTCACTTGATGAATGCAAATCGGGCACCTTCATCAACACCCATCAGACGACAGACCGAAACCCAGAATGTCGCACTGACGAGGCTGTTTCCTTGCATCTTGCGCGATGGTGATAAGGTCAGCCATTGAAGGTCAGCATCTTCCCCAGCCTCAGTCTTGCCCGAGACATTTTGCATTTGGAAATACACCACATCCCAAGATATCACTCCAGATGCAGAACCAGAGATCGCGGTTACATTTCGGTAACGACGAGAGAAAGTCTCACAAGACAATCCCTCTCATCTGAGCATGGATCACCAGAGTTGCAGGTTCAGACTGAGCGTGTCCCTGACAACATTACCTCCAGACAATTGGGCGTTCGTACAAGTCTCCGAGAATTGGGCTTGACTCTTGGTCGTGTTCTTCGCAAGCGAAGCAGGTACGCCTGTAGTACAATATGATGCTGCAAAAGGGCAAAATGGGCTATAGAAACCCGAGGGAAGGGCCTCATCCCAGCTCGTAGGTTGTCCATTCTTCAGTCACTGCTAATGCGAGTATGCCATACTTCCTAGTATAGATGGTGGACCAGGCTGCGAGAGGGGCAGGCCCAGTCGAAAGTGGCGAGCTGGTTCTGAAGGCCCGAGGCCGAGCGGAGAGCACAATAAGGCCCAGGGCATGGGCTGGTTGATAGACGAGAAGAACGCCGGGGCGAGCATGTCAAAGGTAATGTCCCATATGTGGCCAAGCATGCGGCTTGGATCTAAAGGGCTTTACGATATCAGTCCCCAGACTCCAATAGAGATGGGACCTTGCCGTGTGAGGGACAGCCTTGCATGTGCTGGCTCAGTACCCCAGTTGCGCTTCCATTTGTAACTGGCGCCGGCGCTTGTTGATGACATGTCGCTGCTGGTGCGATCGACGGGATGGTAGCAGGATCCAACATCGCATCTCACCCGTGGCAGATGCCTTTCTCTTCCGTGTGCATAGGGCATTGTTAGACCGAAAGATGCTTCCCCTGAGAGACAGCCCAGCGTTTAAAAAGGAATGCGAAAGACATTGGGTTTCTTTGGGGCGGAGTCACCCATAGCATCGCAGGATTTCGTCTTGGCCTTGCGGTTAATCGAGATTGTCAGGAGTCGCGCGGGCTACATGAAAGGTCGTTGGTACAGCAAGAGGATTCAGCATCTCCAGATAAATGATCTCACACAACGAGATCAGATAGTGGTCGATGGGGACAGTAAAGTGCCCACTGCGGAGGACGCTGCTTCAGCGTTTTAGGTGGCGCAGCTTCGACAGACCAGGTACTGAGAGAAACCATAACGCTTGGTAGACGCAGGATAGTCCTGACAAAATGTGAGTCACTGAAAGGCCAGTAACAACAACCAGCATTGCCAGCATCCCATGGCCCGAAGCGCGGTCATCTCGGAGCACTGAAGGTCGGCGCTGCTCAAAACCACGCCGACAGCCCCATCGTGTGGAAGCATGGTCTAGTTGCCCAGTCAAGCAGTCACCAATCATCAACATCTCCGTAAATCAGAGGCCAAGGTCCATGAAGGATATACTGTGCTTTTTCCCGATGCTGCCGTCATCCTTGCCAAGCCTGTTGTATTATCTGTGATTTGCAGGTGGTCTGGCAGATTCCTGCATCGAGGTAGTCGAAAGTCGCGGGATAGATCGAGGAATAGAGCCTTCTCGGCGCGTCACTTGCTCCTGTGTTCTGCAAGTATTCGGATGTCAAACCCCGATACGTGAAGACTGAACGCAGATGAGAGCTTCAGCGCATCATCGACCGACATTGATGTTCTGGGACAGATTTGAGGAAGAGGACGGGTCGGACCCGAGAGAAGGTGAACTGTGCCTCCTTGCCCACGATATCAATCGGCCTCCTGGGCATGCGAGATTGATGAACTTTGGCCAAGTATTCCACCGGGGTGAAATGTTTGTTCCACCACTTCGAATCAAGAAGCCAGTTCCAACCAACTTGTTGACTACAGGTCAGTCATGATCTCTGGGTGATTCTGCGAAATGATGGAGGATATGAGGGAAAAGCGCCGGTTGGTGGTAACCAAGGTGAAGATCCTTGGTGCCTGTAGGGTCTGTTACTAGCAGCCATCAGGCGAAAGAAAAGATCAGCCAAGAGCTATATCCAATGCCCTGAGAGTGCTAGAGATCGCAGTCAATCCGGCCTAGCTCCTGTTGGTCGCAGTTGAAGGGGGGTTATTGAGAGTGACATTGCGAGGAAAGAAATTCTCGATGATGCGTTCAAATCAAGCAGACAGATGAAGAGCAGGGCAAGTCATATCGACCTGTGCGCCTGGTTGGATCTTGATAGCCTCAGCATCCTTGACCTCGGTGTTGGCCTCAGACTCGTCAGAGGTGAGGCCACGACGTAGAGTCCTGGGTCCTCTTCCTGTCTCCAGGCAGAAAAGCAAAAATGGATGTGGAGGAGAGCTCAAGCAAGACACAAATTCATCGATGAGCTCATCAACCAGCTTCAATCGTAACCACAGTTTCGTATCGCACCAGCTGTCAGATACCCAAGGGACAGGCCGGTCAAAGGTTGTCGAACTGAGCTGCAGGACTTGAGCTTGGTGGGTGGACGAGTTGCTCCGAATAAACGGTAGCTTTGCTACTGCCGCTGGACACTCGTGCATTTGCTGCTTTCGGGGAAATTGGGTCGATAGAAGATGAGCCGGTAACAGTGGCCATGGAGTTGGTGATGAGAAGATTGTTGGTAGCTGGCAAGCACTCTTTGCTCTGGTTCCTTGCCCTGCAACCGTAGAACCTCATCGTCAAGTTTTAAGACAGGCTTCATTCTTGTCATCGAGGCGATCAATCGGAATTCCGATTTCCTGGCAGGCGATCATGTCGTGTGGTGACTGTTCTGCGTCGGGCAGAACAACAGCGAACGGATGGCATTCTGGCACGCGTTCTTCGTCTCGAGAATCTCGTCAAGATTATTATCGGTTTCATTGCGATCGACTGTGAAACGGTGAAGAGACTCGGCAGCTTGTCGTTGCGATCGTGTTCGGTTGAGTCGCATCTGTTTCGAATTGCTCGTTGTCAAATCGATTGGGGTTGCCAAGTGCGAGGCCCAAATAGCGAGCTGTCTGTCGCACCAGCCATTTCACATCGTCCTGACAGTAACTGCAGAGCTGATTGACATCAATTCGGTGTCAAGGAGAATGCCATGGCTATGGTGCGCTCGCGCGTTTGTGTTTTCGCTCGTGCGCGTCGTTCGTTGCGGGCATGTCGCGGTGCCTCTGAGGCATCTGTCGGAGTAAGCAGTCTTAATGACGATGTTGGTGGTCGAGTTGAGGTTGTAAATGCAGCAATGTTCTGTTGTGCTTGGTCTACCATGTGTCGCATCATTGGTTGGCTAAGCGGGCCCAATCTGTTAATGGGTACCTTGTCACCCCACGCAATTCGGCATGCACAAAAAGTAGGTTCCAACATCGTTATCGTCTTATCGATACGAAGCACTCCGATTACCTCGTGTACGCATTTCTCTGGGATTTTTATAATCTAGCGCAACCTATAGTATTGTGCATTAGAAGATCCATATGACTAAAAATCTGATTCTATGTTGCAATGCGGTATTTCTTTTCTTTGTTGTGCGTGGTTACTCGACGTTTCTTTGCTGAATATCGCAAGTCAAGTACCTGGTTCAATACATATGTAGTGAGCGAACTGACTTCAAGAACTAACGTTGTCTTTATCACGAAGAAATAAAACCAAATTCTTAAATGGCATCCATAATTAAGTCCAGATTCCCTTTACCTTCTCAATATTTCACATACTACTCATTTATTTGCCAGAGCAAGATGTCATTCCTCATGTTCGTCCACCTCTTTTGGTGCAAACTACCCTGTATCTTGAGGTGCATTTCCCTCCCCCAGTAATTTTCTGTCAGGTGAAGGATCCACCAGACATGGCAGTTC